CGCACAATAAAGAACTCACCTTGTAATATTCATTCAAATTCACTATTAAATAATTGAATTGAGTTGATCTTAGTGATTCTCGAGAAATTCTAAGAATTATTTGAATAGTTTAAGTTAGTTTAGTTAAAGAATATTAGTTATCCTTCAGACCCTTGTCCACATATTGGTACGACAGTATAACAAACTAGTGATATGATCTAGATATAATTCACATCCAATCTGTGAATTATTTTTTATCTACTTCTCCCATTTCTATTCTACCTCTCCCATTTATATTACTATTTCTATATTACCCACTTTTCCCATTTCTATATTACTCACTTTTCCTACTTCTATTATCCATTTTTTCCATTTCTACATTACTCATTTCTTCCGTTTCTATATTACTCACTTCCATATATTACACTTTTCCCATTTCTATATTAACTCACTTTTCCATTTCTATATTACCCACTTTTCTCACTTCTATATTAATACACTTTTCCTACTTTTCCACTTCTATATTACCTACTTTTTCCACCTTTCCACTTCTATATTATCCACTTTTCTTGCTTCTATATTAACCCACTTTTCCGCTTCTATTTTATCCACTTTTCCCGTCTCTATATTACCCACTTCTATATTACCCACTTCTCTATTATTACCTACTTCAATATTATCACTTTTCCTGTTTCTATATTATCCACTTCTCCTGATTCTATATTACCCACCTCTTCCGTTTCTATATTACCCACTTCTCCCATTTCTATATTGTCCATTTTTCCCGCTTCTATACTATACACTTTTTTACTTCTATTACCCACTTTTCCTGTTTCTATATTACATATTTTTTGCTTCTATATTATCTACTTTTCCACTTCTATATTACCCACTTTTTCCGTTTCTATATTACTCACTTCTCTATTATTATTCACTTCTATATTACCCACTTTTCCCATTTCTATATTAACTCACTTCTCTATTATTTATCTACTTCTTCTGTTTCTATATTACCCACTTCTCCCGTTTCTATATTATTCACTTTTCCATTTTATATTAATTCACTTTTTCACTTCTATATTACCCACTTTTTCCACTTCTATATTAGTTCACTTTTTCACTTCTATATTACTCATTTTTCCCACTTCTATATTAATTCACTTTTCCCACTTTTCCACTTTTATATTACCCACTTTTCCCATTTCTATATTACCCACTTCTCTATTATTACCCACTTCTATATTATCCACTTCTATATTATCTACTTCTCTTATTCTATACTAAACACTTTTCTACTTCTATTACCCACTTTTCTCATTTCTATATTACTACTTCTATATTACCCATTTTTCCACTTCTATATTATTCACTTTTCCCACTTCTATATTACCCACTTTTCCCATTTCTATATTACCCACTTCTCCTGTTTCTATATTACCTACTTCTCCTGTTTCTATATTACCCACTTTTCCCATTTCTATATTAACCCACTTTCCTGCTTCTATATTGTCTACTTTTTTCGCTTCTATATTAATCCACTTTTTCTACTCTTTCATTTCTATATTATCTACTTTTCCCATTTCTATATTACTTACTTTTCTCATCTCTATATTACCTACTTCTCTATTATTACTTATTTCTATATTATCTACTTCTTTATTATTATCACTTCTATATTATCCACTTCTTTATTCACTGGTCGAAAATTGATAAAACATACATATATCGGGTACCTGATATGTACATGATATGTCCCTAATATCGGGCATATATCAGGTACTTGATATATATATAAAATATTTTCTATACCTATCGGGTACCCAATATATGCCTGATATTAGAGACACATCATGCACATATTGGGTACCCGATATGTGTATGTTTTATCAATTTTCGATCAGTGATTATTACTCACTTCTATATTACCCACTTCACTATTATTATTATCCACTTCAATATTATCACTTTTCCTGTTTCTATATTATCTACTTCTCCCGATTCTATATTACCCAACTCTTATATTTCTATATTATCCACTTCTCCCATTTCTATATTATCCACTTCTCTTATTCTATACTACACACTTTTTCACCTCTATTATCCACTTTTCCTATTTCTATATTATCACTTTTATATTATCCATTTTTTCACTTTTATATTATTCACTTTTCCTACTTCTATATTACCCACTTTTCCCGTTTCTATATTAACTCACTTTTCCACTTCTATATTACTCACTTTTCCTGTTTCTATATTACCTACTTTTCTATTATTACCTACTTTTATATTACCCAATTCTCTATTATTACCTACTTTTTTCATTTCTATACTATTACTTATTTCTCTCATTTCTATATTATTACCTAATTCTCACTTTTCACGACATTCCCGATCACAATTCTGAGAAAGAAGGTAAGTGCTTTCTTATTTTATTTAAGAATAAGTAAGAGAAGAGATAAGTAAGTTGTTTTTATTTCTTTTTAAAAAAAAAATATTAAAAAAAAAATTAATAATAAATATACTTATCCATTTTTACGAATCTAACATGCTGCGAGAATGACATTCCCGATCCCAATTCTAAGAAAGAAGGTAAGTGTTTTCTCATATTACTTAGGAGTAAGTAAGGAAAGTGTTTTTTCATATTATTTAGGAGTAAGTAAGAAAAGAATAATTAAGTTGTTTTTTTAAAAAAAAAATATATTAAAAATTAATAATAAATATACTTACCCATTTTCGCGAATTTAACATGCCGTAGGAATAACATTCCTCGATCCCAACTCTGAGAAAGAAGGTAAGTATTTTCTCATATTACTTAGGAGTAAGTAAGGAAAAAGTAATTAAGTTATTTTTTTAAAAAAAAAAATATTAAAAATTAATAATAAATATACTTACCCATTTTCACGAATCTAACATGCCGTGGGAACGATATTCCTCGATCCCAACTTCAAGAAAGAAGATAAGTATTTTCTCATATTACTTAGGAGTAAGTAAGGAAAGAGTAATTAAGTTGTTTTTTTTAAAAAAAAAGAAAAATATCAATAATTTTGTGATTTATAATATTAAATTGTCAAAATATTATTTTAAGATGATAAGTTACACCACAGTCTATAATCTTTTTTTTGTGCTTATTCAAATTGTTAAATTCAAATATTAAAATTTTACTTTTATTATATTTCTTTAAATTGTTTTTATTCATTATTTTTGTTAATTTATTATTTTTTTTCAATTATAGCACCAGTGAGATCAAAGAAGTTATCAGGTAAACAAAGAAAAATCAGATAACGACAACAACAGCAAGAGCAATAACAACAGCAAGAACAACAACAACAATAAGAATAACAATAAAATAAACATGATTTAATTTTTAATGAAAAACAAGTATGTGATTATTTAAATTATTATCTTAACATAATATTTTAATTCTTATATTTAATTTTTATTATTAGCATCATCTCCAAGGTGCTTCGACAAGGGTAACTACAGATGAGATTAAATATTATATAAGAAATTTATAGAAAAGTGTTTCTCTTAGTCCTTCTGATAAGATATTAACTAGAACTCAAAATAAAATATCTTTGAATATTTTATTAACTGGAGTTTTAGTAAGGGAATACTCAAAGAATTATTTCCTTGAGTTATCTAAAATTCTTTTAAATTATCTTAATTTAATAATATCAAATATAATCCTTGAAGATAATATTGATTGGAATAATGGAATATGGAATGATTTTAAATCATGAATTAGTCTAAGAAACTAAGTAAAAAAACAAATAGAAAGTAAAGAACAATTTCAAAGAGTTTTAAAAAAGAAATAGAAAAAATTTCTTAGAAATGGTTCTTTTAAAATTGAAGATTCTTTAACTAATTCTAAAAAAGATGAAATAATTAAATTAGCAAGAAAAAATGGATTAGCAAAAGGTGCTCATTTTTTTGTTAATCCAAAATATATAGTGAATCAAAATGACAAAACTTTAATTCACTTAGAAAATATAGATGATCAAAATGCCTTGTTACAAGTTATAACAGCTGTAAATGAATCTATTTTCATTTAATTGGTAAAGGTGATAAAGATAAAGAAAGTCAATTACATCGAAGCAAAGATTTTTGGTCAAAATTTATTGAACATTTTGGTGCTTTTAGAAAATTTAAATCATTTCCATATGTAACTGCCAGTACTGTCAGTAGTCACAGTACAGCTCACCAAATATACGTTGATAATTTACTTCGTAATCTTGTACCATTATCAAAAATATGTCAACAAATTTATACAAGACAATTATGAAAATATGTATTCAAAGTTGATAAATCTTTCCTGGGATCCTTTTGCTCCAAGACCTTTTGAATTTTTTTCAACGATTGCCATTAATTTTAATATCATTAGTGATTATCATTGGAATAAACTTGATGTACCAAATTGTTTATGTTGCCTAGTACCATTAGGTAATGACTTTCAAGGTGATGAATTTTATTTTTCTCAACTTCATACCCTTGTATCACTTCAACCTGGTCAAGTCGTTGCATTCACTTCTCACTTTTTACTTTACGGTAACTTTCCTTTAACCCGTGGAATTAGGTATAGTATCATTTATTTTATTTATAATACTTTTTTCCAATCAAAAGATAATATTGGAAATATGAAAATTATAGATACTAGTTTAGATAAAAAGCTTTATAGTAATTATGGCTTTAATCCTAAAAGAAATGATTATAAAACATCTCAAAATAGTCAAACTGATATGTCAAAAGCTAATAATGATAAAAGGCGAGGGTATATTGGTAAGTAAAATATTACAAATATTTATAATTTTATTAAAACTAAAATTATTATTTATTTTAGATTTGTCAC